CGCGCTTCCGATTTGAACCAAGGAAGAAGATACGTACTATTACTTATTTAGCCAATAGGAGAACTTCAGACGTTTTGGCTTTATATATTAGGCTTATCCTAAAAAGTTTGAACTTTTTTGGGCCTGGTTGTTGAAGAAGAGAGATTAGGGACCTCACGAGGGTTGTGGGTTATGTTATATTTCAGTGCACGTCTCAGGTTTCAAGGGGTATAGCCTAGGTATAAAAGCATATGTATACAGACTCCAGTATGTTTGTAGGGGACTTTGAGAGTATGCTATGGGGATTTTTTGCGGCCTCCATAGCAGCCTGAAAGAGATAAGATAAGTGCACCTTGCTTGTAAGTCCAACGCCTTTTGTGTTGAGCAAGTGTTCTACTTGGCAGATTGTTGCATTAGGGTTTAGGGTATGGGGCTAAGGGGTTTACCCTAAACCCTAGACCCCTAAACCCAAAGCCCAGCCTTAGTCTGAATGAGTCCTGTATCTAGGTAGGGATGGGTGGCAGTGTTTCGGTAGTTCTCTATATCAGGTTCCGGTTTTCTTCGGCCCCCCCAAATAGTACCAGTAGGGCACAATTATAAGAAGGACCCTTTTGTGGAGAACTACCCGTCTCTTTCGTCGGCTGTTGTCATATTGGCGGGTGTACTCAGATGAAGGCTCACGTCATCTAGGGTTAAAGTAGCACCCTTCGATTCTGAAACTTGCATATGTCGCCAGTCTCGTGGTCTTCATACTTTATAGGGCCATAGGGTCTATGATTTAGGGGTGAGGGAATCGAGTTCAAGGCGTTGGGAAAAGTTTCAAGCGAGGCCCACTCCGACTGAGTCTTGCATGCCAGTCCTGTCTACTAAACCTGCAAACTCCACATCTTCAGCCGTGCAACCCCTGAACTCCCAAACCCAGACAGCTCTCCGCAATCCTGTCCCAAACGACCCTTTTTCACGTGCCGAGCTGCAGACTCCAGAAGAAAGCCTCAGCAGGAACGCCGACACCGCAAGAGCCTTCTCACGTGAACCCTAAGCAACACAGCTTGCCGCACACTGTCATGTAGTTGAAGGAAACCCAAACCCTAAGAACCCTAAACCCTATCCCTAACACCCACCTACACCCGAAGACCCCCCGACCCCTGCAAAACCGAAGCCCTATATAAACCCTCAACCCAAACACTGCACCCTCAGGGTCCATGTGCCCAAATAGTGTAAACTTTGGCCCCAAAGTTCCTAAAAAAGCGACGACTTTAAGGCCAAAGTATATACTGTTTGAGTACATGGACCCTTAGGGGCAGGCTTGTCTACAGCTGGCCAGTAACCTGCGGCCCTTTCCGCCGCGTGCTTAGAAGGAGCTGAGAATGCCGCCTCCAGGGTTGAAGGCTTGAATTTAGGGTTTAGGGTTTAGGGTTTAGGGTTTAGGGTTTTGAATTTAGGGGTTTAGAGTTTAGGGGTTTACGGGTTAGGGTTTAGGCTTAGGGAGTTTAGGGGTTTAAGGTTTAGGCTTCATTGGTTCAGGGCTTAGGGGCTGAAGGGGTTTGTGGGGTTGACGGCTTAAGGGTTGCTGAAGTGGAATTGTGGTGTCGCGAGATTCCACCCCTCCAAAAACTTAACGTGCCATCTGACCTCGCCACAAGTTGGGGTCGGTGGCAGAGGACCCCCTGTTTGCAGGGTTCGGGTTCTAGGTTCCCAAGTAGTACCCCTTTGCACTTTTTCTTTGTAGGTTCCCTGAATAACACCAAATGGTAGGAAAAAGGGTACCGTTATTATTTAGGGGCTACTGGGGAACCTAGCGTTAGTCAACCTGGAGTCCCACGGTTGCAATCCCGGTGATTCTTGAAGCACCTCTCAACAGGGCCGGGAAGGTCATTCGCCATGTTTCAGTCTTAGGTTGCAGCCATCACGGACATGAACAGGCACATTTATATCCCTCCACGCTGTGATCAGGAGCGGCAGAACTGTCTTGTTTCTTTACAGGAGAGGTGGGACGGGGGCTGTGGGCACCGGTGATAGTAAAGGTTTCATGATGGGGTGGTAGGTGATAGTCCTGGCTCCACGATGGGAGGCAGGTGAACAGCAAAGGCGTCATGCTGACTCCTGCCACGATCTCCACATCACTGATGTTTCTGGTGTACGATGGCCTGCTGGTTACTCCAGGAGCCCCTGTTCCGACAATGCAACTCTGCGTGAGCTTCCTTCGCCTTTTGTTCACGCGTGATTTTCTCAACAAAGACAGTCAGGACAATTCTCAAAGGCATGCCATGTGCGTACGTATTCCTCCTACGCCGCTCCCAAGCTGATGCTTGGCCCATAACCGCAACAAAAATGAAATCAACATTCTGGACCCTCGAACGATCGGAGGAGTTCTGCGCATTCAGCAGCAAGATTATTTAAGTCCTAAACTCTTAGAGCCTCGAAGCCCTCAACCCTAAACCCTGAACGCAGCTTCCCAGGCCCCTGTTTTGGATCTCCGCTGCTTCGACCGCGCTTCTGACACTGCAGGAAGCGAAGACCCGATTCTGAAGTCCGTGTGCTTTTTGGCGATGTTCTTAGGGCTGTGCTGTTTAGGGCTTTAAGGCTTTAGGTCCAAACCTCAATTCCGAACTGTAGCATAGCTTTACAACTCTTAAGGGAATGTTGATAGGAAGCCATTCAAGCCCATGGTCACGATGCTACATTACATCTCAACGCCGTGTTTAGACTATGCCTTCAACTTTCTCTGTATCAGTAGAGGAATGCGTCCGCTTCGATGTAGAAACACACCACTATAATGCATGCACTGGCTAAGATTCTTAGCCCATGGCCCGTGGCCCTCAACGGGCATGAGTCAAAAAGCGCCAGGCGCTGGAAACAGTCGGTCTATGGGCATTGACGAATGCGGCGGGCTCACCCGAGTTCCATTGGGCAGCAGGGTTGCTGTCTGACGAAATCTGAGGCTTTCAGGGTGAAGGTCGTTCCTGTTGCACTTAAAAGCCGCGAGGCATCCTTCCCAGGATGGGGCCCTTTTCAAGGTGCGCTAGTTTTATTGATGCCTGCTCAGGTAGATCAAGCATTTTGATTGCCTTCGACTTTCGTTCGGCAGGGTTGTCTGGTGGTTGAGCGATGGCACTGGATATTAGCTTCGCGGATACCTTAGTAATCGCAGTCTTCCTTGTTCTGAGGATAGTCAGACTGCCATTTTTATCTAAGCCTTTAAAGCCCCAAGCCCTGCAATCCTGGGCCTCAACTCCCAATTACAGCTGAAGCCCTAAGCCTGTTCGGCCCTAATCCCCAAAGCCTCAAGCTTCGAACCAAGAGCCCTAAACTCCACACCTTTTTCAAAGGTTCTCAAAACAAGAAACCCTGTACCTGAGACCCTACCACTACGCCGGATACCCCGAAGCTGAGGGCGCGCGCGTGCGTCGGAGCCTCGTCGCCACCTCTCTGGTGGTGCTCCTCGTGGCGAAGTCGGGCCAGGCTAGTTGAGGGTTTGAGGTGTGGGGGTGTAGGGTTCGGGGTTTAGGGTTGAGGGTTTAGGGTTTAGGGTAGATGGCTCTTTGGGCATACTGTTTATAGTGAGATTATGGGGTATCTGCCTCCTGGTTTCATGTTTTATTCCAATGAATTTCGACAGAGGTGCCCCCAAAAGATCAAGTCTAGAAACTTCAGCGCATCATGTTGAAGCACTTGAACCTTGAACCTCTAAACCCTAAACCCCTAAACCCTAAACCCTAAACCCTAAACCCGAATTGAGCCCCTCATTTCACGAAAGTGGCCTGTCAAGGAAGGCCAGAGCTGTTTAGGGCTCCAAAGCTCTAGGGGCCGTTAAGCCAGAAGACGGAATGCTAGACGAAGACTAACCTTAGGGAATTAGGGCTTATTGGGGTTTAGGGGTTAGTGTTTTAGGACCGACCTTAGGTATTAGGATTTAGGGTGTTGGGTTTAGGGTTTAGGGTCTTGGGGTAGGATTTTAATGAATCACTCTCACAAGTGGCTCGCGGCCTCTACTCAGTTTCTCGCAGCACCTGGCTTTCCTCGAATCGCAGATCCTGTAGACGTGTGTGTGTGTGTGTCTCCAGATTGCTGACCCAAGGGGTCCTATCGGGGCTGACTGTTACGGGGGATGCCTTTTCCCAAATCATTCCAGAAATTCCTAATGCAGAATATAGAACCCCTGCATTCTATTATGTAGGTACGTAGGATGCTTTTAAGAGAGTCCACCTGGGTCGGGGTTGTGGCAATAGCGTTCCGGGCTTCGACAGCTTTAGTCCTCCTTGCAGCTGAATGAAGCGCACTAACCTCCACCAGGTGTTTGTCTAGGGCTTCTAGGGTCCAGGATAAAGGGCCGGGAACCCTAAACCCTAAACCCCTAAACCCTAACACCCCTAAGATAAAGGGCCGGGACCTGGATCCGACATGACCATACGAAGATGCACTCTCATGTGTCGATTTCTATTTTGGAGTTCCATAATATATCGTGCGTCCTTTGAAAACGCTGCAGTCGACGTTCGTTAGGTTGCTGCTTAGTTGACTGTCGGGGCCTTGAAGGGCTCCGGGCTTTGGGGTTTAGGTTACGAATACCTTGATTCAAGCTTCCGGCTAGAGCGGGAAGTTTCAACTCTGCAAAGGCCTGGTGTATTCGAGGGTCTTCGGTGTTGGCATAGAGTTGTCTTACTTCTGAGATGAAGTTATCGGAGCTGTGGACCCTTGTGGCTCAAGCTTTCCGACAGAGATTCCCCGACATGAAACCTTTTTCAAGTTTGAGTCCTACGCCCTAAGCCCCACTCCCCAAACCGCAAGCCCTCTCAACGTTCCGGCACGGTCAACCCCAACCACTCTTTGTGTCGCCTGTCCCTTCAGAGCATTGTCCAGAGCAGCGAGACCTACTATAACCTTAACAAACTTATGCAAAAGCTGCGAAGATGAAGAATAGCAACAGAACCTGAATCGATCTCACTCGATCTCAGCCTTTTCCTCTAGCCTAAACCCTAAAACCCTCATAGGAGCCCGAAATTGTTTAGTCGCTTCCAGAGACCATGGAGCAGTCGCAGTCTGCGGCGTTTCTACTGAGCTTGGCTTTGTTGCGGCCCGACTGCCCATCCTGCAGCATCTAATTATGTATTTATCGAGTATCGCGTGGCTGAGCTCTCGACGGTATACCCTGGCCCTAAAATCTCAAACCTTAATCTGACAAGAAGGCGATGCCCACAGGAGTTGCCTTTCATCAGATCTCCCCGGGCTGCACGAGATCATGCTGGTCCCCAGCATAGCCACAGCAGGCTGCACATCTAGACACCGAGCCCCTAACCCGGAACCCCTACCTGCTACCCGCCCCAAGCCCTAAACCCTCAACCTTTAACCCTAAACCGTGAAAGCGTCATGACGCCGGATGCCTGGGCTCTTAGAATCGGGGTAGAGCTCGGGGCTTTGAAACCCATAAACCTCGTCCTTAGTGAGCAGGGGTGATTGTAACAGGGCTTGATCTCGAGCTCCTTAATAAATGTCGAGTCAGGCACGGCAATGTTATCGGGCATACGATTTCTATCATCGCAGGAGAGGAATCTTGGGGAGGGGCGAGGGCGGTTTTGTCGGGAAGAAGATCCCGGTTGAAGAGATCAGGCGCTTAAGAAAGGGTTCAGCAAATACGTCTTCAGCGCGAAAGATCTGATCCGCAAGATAAACCCTAAACCACAAACCCTCAACCCTGCACCTCAACCCGAAACCCTTAAGTGGCTTCGAAATTTCCGGAACATGGCCAGCCGAGAAAAGGCCTGTTGACCCAGGCATGAATCTAGTTTTTTTTACACCTCTGAGGGTTCGGTTTAGGCTTTTGGGTTTCGGTTTTAGGTTTCGGTTTAGGGTTTAGGTAGGAGTCTCAGCAAGTCTGAGATGCTACCCCAGACAGACCCTACGAGAGAGCCCTGGCAGCGCAGCCAAACACCTGCAGTCCCAAGCTTCCGTGGCCGTAGAAGAAGCATCCACCCTAATTCGGGTTTAGGGTTTAGGGTTTAGGGGTTTAGGGTTGAGGGGTTTAGGGTGTAGGGGTTTAGGGTACAATCCAGAAGCCAATAGTATCTATTCTCAACGGCTCCCTAACCGTAGCACAGCATGAAAGCCCCACAACCATAGTCTAGCCCGTTAGGCACCGCGGTTCCCGAAGCCTCCGCTCCTCTATATTGTAAAGCCCTAAAACCATCTTAGACCTAAGCAAGAAAACCTACACTATATAAACCTAAATCTTAAACCCCATATACCCTATAAACTCTAAGCCTAAACAGTGTGCCCCACAAATTCGTAAAAAGCAACCCCCATGACTTGCTTTAGGTATATCTCCATTACGCTGACTTTGGGCCGACCTCCTGTCCGTCGGGTTTTAAAGGCGACACCGGAGAAGGGGCTTCAGCGGCGTGGGGTGACAGGTTGAGGGCTTTGGGGTGTGCAGAGTATCGAGGGCTTGTTTAGCATGTTGGGCGGTTTTGGGAGCTTCGGTTGCCTCTGCAGATTTTGCAGTTGTTCACGCCCTTGCCAAGTGTGCGACACAAACCCATATGTCACTTCTCAGCGCGGCTAGCACGTAGGGTACCATCAGGGTAATTACCATCAGGGAAGCCCCGGACGCAACGACTCCGCCGATCCTTCCCAAAACTGCCCTGCTTGACACGTGGAGGTGGCCTGGCAGGCATTTTTCAACGAGTCGTTCCGTACCCAAGCTGCCTTGGTACACCGGGGGGCAGGATTTTGGGTCCCTGTGTCGTTGGGTAGGCAACCCTAAGGCTCTATGTACCCCTCCAGTTATATACTTTGGGCCAAAAAGGGTCCTAAGTATAATACTATATAGCTATACATAGAGCCTTCCGGCAAGTTTGGATTGAAGCTTTGGACCCTGGCCGATGTTCTCGCCTCTGCGAAGCATGCTTCAGGCTTTAGGCCTGGGGTTTAGGGGCCTACATGCCTACTAATACTATTTTGGGGGGCTCCTTATCATAATTATAGTATTAAAGTATCCCAAAGCCCTATTCTAATTATGAAGGCCCCGATATTAGGGTTTAGGCTAGGTTTGGGGGCTGGGGTCTGAAGAAGAGCCATAAAGGAAACTTCGAGGATTGGCTTTACGACCATCAGAGCCTAAACCCTAAACCCTAAACCCTAAACCCTAAACCTCGAAGGTTCCGAAGAGCTCTTTCAGCGGCTCCATGACCAGTGGGCCTCTTTCCGGCAGAGCCCGGTTAGGGTTTAGGGTTTGAGGTTTAGGGTTCAGGGTTTAGGGTTTAAGGTTTAGGGTTTAGGATTTAGGGTTTAGGGTTTAGCCCATTAAAGGCGGGAAGAGCAGATCCGAATATAGACGCCAGGACTGTGGGATAGATCCTGGCAGAAAAAGATCACAGCAAAGGGAACCCTATCCTCAGAGCCCCCCTGCCCTTTACCTTGATCTCGGAGATCGGCGTCTTTATGGTTCAGCGGTTTAAACAATCCTTCATGTTCTCAATAATCACGTGGCCTTCACCTGATTTTCCAGCTTGCTGGTTCCACGTATATTGGTCTGCGCACCGAACCCCATCAAAGGAATCTGCTACTGGCGAAAGTTGTTGCGATGGGCCGCTGTGTTCTGTAGAAGCTAAAAGCCACTAAGAACTTTGATTCGCAATCTGAAAACTGAGCCCCACAGACATAAACTCGAAGTCCTGAACCCCACAGCCCTAAACCCTATATAAATCCTAAACCCTGAACGCCACAACCCAATCTTAAAACTTCCTCAGGTCGACCTGTGGAAAGGGTGGGCTGCGATCTTCGCCACTCTCACAGAGTGCTATGCCGTGCCACCAGCGGCAAATGACTTGAAACTCCCCTGAACCCTTTCTTCAGCGACAAAAGAAGCCCTTCCGAACGTAATTCTTTGCACACATATCTTATTGCAAAGAGAGTGTTGGTTTCTCCATGCACCGCCGCAACTACTTTTCTGATTGTATGCGTGTCTGGCTTTAGCGTCTGAATTCGTGGGCTTTCCCGCGAGTTTAAGGATACAGGCTATGGCGGCTATGGGGGTGCAGGTTTAGGGTTTAGGGAGTTCACGGTTTAGGATTTAGATGAGGGTTGGGGTCTGGGGTTTTCGCGGCACGGCTTCAGGGCTTCAGCCTTAGAAAGCTTGACTCATGCTTTGCGATTGATGGCAGCACGCGCTTTTCCGGTGCATAGGTTTGCAATATGACTTAGGATTGCTGGCTGGGTGGTGCAAGGGTTCTTTGTGTCCGGTGTCAGGGTTTGGGTCTTACTTACCTTATGTTGGTTCATAGTGTTGTTCCGAGTTTGAGTGCGGGATTCAGGGGCAGTTGACTAGTGTGCTTGGGTTTGCAGGCGCCCACCCACACACATACATCGACAGGTGCAAAAATCGAACAACGAAAGATTTGTGCATGGGTACATACATCTGAGTATATGTAACTATGTATGTGTGCATACATACCTGCATAACTGTACACATATGTATATATATATATATATATATTTGTACATAGATTTGTGTAGATATAGTATGCTAGCTAGCTAGCCATCTGGATAGCTAGCTAGGCAAGCAGGGAGGTAGGTGGGAAGGCAGGTATGTATATGTGTGTGTGCGCGCGTGTTTTCGCCAGATTCTCTGTACGTGAATTTACCGTATTGTATGCATGTGCTCCATTGCATCGACTACACGTAGTAACTCACACTAAAGCCTTCACCAGTAACCCTGAACAACCCTGAACCCTACACCCTGAACCCCCAAACCCTATAAGCCCCAATCCCTAAACCCTAAACTCTATAAGCCCTAATCCCTAAAACCCCAAGCCCTATAAGCCCCAATCCCTAAACCCTAAACCGCTAAACCCCAATAAACCCTAATCCCTAAACCCCAAACCCCATAAGCCCCAATCCCTAAACCCTAAACCCTATAAGCCCTAATCCCTAAGTAAACCCTAATAAACCCTAATCCCTCAACCCTAAACCCCAAAAAATCCTAATCCCTAAACTCAAAAAACCCCAACAAATCCTAATCCCTATAAACCCTACAAACCCAAAACAATCCGAAAGATTCAAGTTGGCGCCTCTGAGGTGCTGGTCCTCTGCCTTCGTCTCGGCGGCGAAGAGTCGGCGCTTCGACTTCGTCGGTTTCGGACATTTCGGGTACTCCTAGGGCTTTTGGTTGGGTTTATCGTAGGAGCCCCCTAAAAGGGTACCAGAGGGTTCTATATAGGGCTTAAAGTGTCGAGGGGGGGAGCGAGGCCTTTGAGATTTAGGGTTCACGGTGTAGTGTTTTTTAGCGGAGATGTAGGCGTTATGTAGGTTCTTGACGAAATCAAGAGACACGGTCTGTGCTTTCGGAGCTTCGGCTTGCATCTGCAGCTACTGTGGCAGGCTTGGCCGCGATAAGATCTTGTTCAATTCACCTGGGCTTGACAGGCTGAGCCATGCGGGAGGGTATAGCCAAGAGGATGCGGAATTTGGTTTAGGGGTCGGGAGTACAAAACGGAAGGCAAGATCCAGCCCTGTACCGCCGCAGCGCGTAAATCTCAAGACCTGTCCTGAGAAGTTCCAGCCTTGCCAGATCCTAAACTACTTGGTTTGGGGGCTGGGGTTTAGGGTTTAGAGGTTTAGGTTTTGGGTTTCATTAGGGTTTCCATACCCTGACCGCTAAGCCCATAAAGCCTCCCCAACAGCAAAGAATGAACCTCGAAACAGTCGAACTTCACCAGACAGCCTAGGAGAAGCCACCGTGGCAGGACTTACATATCTGGTACCTTGAGCAGCAAAACGTTTAGGGTTTGGGGTTTAGAGTGTAGGGGCAGTTCGGGCCAGGATGTAAGATTCAAGTGAACCCTGCAAAGACCGACACAGTCTGTCTTGCTTTGAGGTCATCCCGAAAGATGGCTACTTACAAGCTTTGCGACTCTGTTCTTGACCCTTCCAAGCCCCAAATCCCACGTTTTTTGGAGGGTTTGGGGCCTATTCCGAGAAACTTGCCCCCCGAAGAAGAAAGTATCCGGAGCTCCCCCCACTCATTCCGAAAGACCCTGAGACCTCCCATCTAAGTTTCGGCTTATCAAAGTCCACTTAAGCCTGTAAGCCTTACAGCCACAAATGCCCTGAAGAACCTCTGTATGCCCCAAATCAAAATGCCTTGAATTGACGCCCAAGAAAACACTTTCCGATTGCTGCGTGGTGAATCGCGAATCAATCAATGACCCCTGAATTGAACAGACTTGCTCTTTATGGGGCTGGGGGGGTATACTTAAAAGCTTTCATTTGATATTGTTTTAACAGGGATAAATATCTGTGTCAATGGTTTGGGTCCAATCGCTTCATGATTATGTGTGGGTGGTTTGAGCGTTGAAGGTTCCAGGGTTGCGGATTAGCCTTCAGGCGTCGGGTCAGGTGTAAGATTTTGGCTGGGCGTTGAGATTTAGGACTTAGCTTAGGAAACCTTTGGAACGGATGTCAGGGTTTAGGGTTCCTAGGGTATGGCCTAAGTTTGAGTGAACGCCTTCGGACTCCAAACCACAAGCTCCCGCCAGACCCCAAACACTGAACCCCTGTTCCCTAAACCTCAGATCAACGTACTACACATAATCATGAACCTACCCTGACCCCTAAACCTTAATCGTAAAACCTAGAAACTTGAACCCTAAACCCTCCCCATGCGGCAGCGGCTCAGTATCTCCTCTTCTTTGACGACGCTGGGCCACGCACGGCCCGAGGTCGATTTCGTCCGTTAGGACGTACACGACCGTTTGGTCGATTTCGTCCGTTAGGACGTACACGACCGTTTGGTCGATTTCGTCCGTTAGGACGAAAACGACCGTTAGGTCGTTGTAGTCCGTTAGGACGTACACGACCGTTTGGTCGATTTCGTCCGTTAGGACGAACACGACCGTTAGGTCGTTGTCGTCCGTTAGGACGCACACGACCGTTTGGTCGATTTCGTCCGTTAGGACGAACACGACCGTTTGGTCGACTTCGTCCGTTAGGACGAAAACGACCGT